AAGTTCCCTATTTTGTATTTGAACTTTCTTATATATAGAATGAGAGTGGGAGGGATATTTCAAGCCTTCTAGAATTATTTTACAGTTTCAATCTCAAGTCTTACATCCATTGAAAGAAGTACGATTTATAAATATGACGCTCACCATATTTCCACATACCAAGAGTAAGTGTCGGAAAGAAGCACCATCTCTTCTAATCCTTTAACCCAATATATTACTTATGAGAAAAAGGGTACCAAAGTAAATAGAGGGGGAGGGCAGTCCAATATTTGTAAGTATTTTATATATTGTAATTAGAAGAATCTAGGAGGGTGAGGACATAGCCCATGCCTGTCCCCCCTGCATCTGTTACCGCTGCATTACTCCACTCCACCTACTTTCTATTTTTTCGTGCACTCATTTGCTGCATTATTATTTTCAAGGTTTATTACTTTTTTGTTATAATATAACTGTTTCTTTCACTGAATAAAAATGAAAACGAAATGGAGTTATTATTTTTTCATGGATGTATATTTAGATATCCTTAACAGTAATTACTTGCACTTGAAATTTGGCTGCTGGGATTTGTTGGTGTGTGATGTTGTGGTGGCTTTCATTATTCTGACGATGTTTTATATGTGTGCAGGGCATACTTACCCTATGTGGGATGCATGACTCACAAGGCAAGCCCATTTTGTTGTGTGCTTGCAATGATAACACTGTGCGCCTCTATGATCTGCCATCGTAAGTAGTTGATTTCCTGTTCATGCTCTCGTTTGGTTCTCTTATCTCCACTAGAGTACAAACCACTAAAATAATTGCCCAATCTGGTTCTCTACAAAACTGAATTATATGGTTTTTACTTCTATATGTTGCAAGTGGAATTAATGACTTGCATAATAAATTAAGCTTGTTTTTTTAATACATCCAAATGATACCCAAACCAGTTATCATGTCATATTAAAATGAGTAACAGAGAAATACACACAATGCATAGAATAAATTTCAATTCTAGAGAAATAAGAACATATATGTCTGTTTGTACTTTGTGGTGGAAATAAAGTTTACTTCGTATTCATACTCATTATTCAATGTTTGCCCCATTTCTGTTCAGATTTGCAGAGAGGGGTAAGATATTAACTAAACAAGAGGTACGAGCGATGCAGATAGGGCCTAACGGCATATTCTTCACCGGAGACGGTACTGGTGAAGTAAGAGTGTGGAATTGGTCAGCGGAGACAACCGCTACCGTCCAATAAAGTGACATTTACAATATGTTCCGTTTCAATGTTTTACTAGTTTCTTCTGGTCTTCCTTTTTGTAATCGTTTTAGCTGCAAGAAGGGAATTAAGGCTGAGGTCGGGAAGAGGCAGAAAAGGAGAGGTAAAGGGATTGTATGTAATTTAAGTTTGCGGAAGTAGTCTTGCGTTTAGAATCTGAGCTTTGGTTTTAGTGTTGAGTGGATATCCTTGGCGCAAAGCTGTGCTCAAGTAGGGCTTTTTCTATTGATGCTTGTAACATTTTGTGAATTCACAACATTATTTAGCATTATTCCTTAACACTTCCATATGCGTATACATACCGAATAAACGTTTGTTACTTGTCATTTACAAGTAACTGGTCTTCTTTCATCTGCTGTATTATTTTTCTGGTGATCATGAGCTTGACGAAATATGAACACGATAACTGTTGTTTTCTCTTTTATTTGTATAATTAGGAGGTATAGTCCCTTCTTACTCAGTCGGTGTATTTTTGGAGTAAACTGGTGTCTTTAGTTGTGATTTGATGTTCATTTGCAGATTGGATTGTATGTGTCAAAGCTGATTGTGTTAATTTGTGTATCTTAAATTGTAGTTATCTTTAATTTGTTTCCTCTTATTAATTATAATCTTTCTTCCTGGTTTTGAAGCCATAATTGTAGTACCAATTACTTTTGCTATTATTATGTTGAGAGCAGTAGAGTGGAAGAAATGAGGAAAATATTTCAAAAACTGTTACAATCGTTTTTCTCAAATCAAATGTGTGCTAATTAAGCCAACAAATCATTAATGTCAACTTTAAAAATAAAATAAATTATTTTTTAAATTAGAAAACTTCTAAAATTACTTGTAAGTTTAAGGAGTGAAAATAATTGTCAATTTTAAGGTCAAATAAAATTTATTAGACTTTAAATATTAATTTCAAATTTGGAGAATTACCACTATTTTATTTAAATTTTAGAAACTACAAAATTATTTTAAAAAAAAATTAAAAAGTAACTTTTCCTATTATAATTTTAGTGAAACATGCGATTCTTAACATGAATGTTGCTAATGATGTCAACTGGTGTGACATTATTAATAATGTGAAAAGAAATAACAATATTCTCAAATAAAGAATTCAAAATAAAAAATTAAAATTTAAAAGACTAATGCTATGTTTGTTTTTGGGAGAATACTGTTGTGGAAATAAAAGCAAGTGCTCCTTTAGTTTGTATTTAGTGATTTTCAGAAAAAAGAGAAGACGAATTTATAAGACATGAGTGTTTCAGCTAACCCTAAACAATGTGAAGAAATAAGAAAAAAGCTATATGAAAAACAAAAAATTACAGCTTAGTCCTTGCTATAATCCAGTTTATTTGAATCACATATTCGATCATGTATAATGTATAATAATTATTACATACTAATAGAAATATAATTCGTAATTTTGTTTTAATTAAGTTCATTGCTCAATGAAAATAATGTTTTAACCACATACAAGTAAAATGTAGAAATAAGTATTTATAATTTATATTAAATTAATTTTCACGAATAAAATTGTAATGTTTCAATTACTTCTATTAAAACATTATTTTTTTTATCACTCAAAAATCATTTTCCACTTTCTTTTCCGTCATTGTCATAATTTTTTACTCCTCAATTAAACTTTTGTTATGTATTGTTTTTTGGGTTATTACTAGTCTCTGGGTCAACAACTACTACCTTTGACCATAATCGTAAACTTCTAAAGTCCATTTATTCCTGTAGAGCTATAGTATACGACATCACCATGCATAGCTACAATACAGCCCTTTAAATCATAATATTATAATTCAGTATTGATGGCCCACAGGGTTTGGTCGTTACATGCATTGAGAATGATAGTTAATAAAATAAATAAATAAATAATAAATAAATAAATGGAATGTTAATGACCCAACTCTAACTTTTGATGATGACAGCTTCATATGGACCACTCCAAAATGTTTGATTTCATTTCGTGTATTATTGCATTTCACTTCTCGCATTCAATTCTTTTGGCCTTTCTGATTCGGGGTCTAATACTTCAATAATTGCAATGAAGTCCTGTTTTTTGTAATTCTAAGCCACATGAAGCCTCCTAGGAATCCTATATATTCCAAAAATGAAAAAAGTATTGATGTCGACCCAAGTTAACATGCTATAATTAATTTTAATTAATACACCTTTTGTTTAAGGTATTTTCATAATTTTCATATTTAGGTTTAAAAAAAAAATTCATCTTTAATTGTTCTCGCTAAAATTACGTTGTTATTATTCTGTTTTCATTATCCTTGTTTTTAATTTAATTTGTGTTGTTTATATTTTTATTGCTCTTGATACGTTTACGGGTATTTATAATTTGATTTGATCTATTAAATACAGTTTGATTTGATTTGATTTATTTTTATTTTAATATAAAGTTTAAATAAAACTAAACCAAATCAATATTTTGTGATTTGATTTAGTCTGTAGTTTTCTTATAAAATTGTTAAATATTATTTTTATTATTCTTAATCATTTATTTAAAGACAAACACTAAAGTACTGAGATTATGATAAAATTGTTTAAAAATATTAGTTAATCAATGAAAACTTCTTGTTAGTTGGAGTTTCCATTTTCTTATAAATTTAACCTTTTATTCGTGTGCTTCTATTCATTTTCCATATAAAAAGTACATTTAGATTTATTAGCATAACAAATTTATTTCTAAAGAGTTTCTAGCACATTTTACAAAGATAAATTAAGATAAAAAGTAGTTTAATTAATTTTTAAATCCTTTATAAATTTAGTATTTTCAAATCAAGTCTTTATTAATTTTTTTTTCATCTACTGAGTACTCAAAATTTTCATTATTATTGGTACCATAGATTGATTAAATATTTAAAGTGGCAAGTAGAGTGCTAGAGTGGATTAACCTGACCCATTACGACTTGAATTAAAAATGAGTTAAATTAACTTAACTCATTTTTTTAATAAACAAAAAATTTTGTAATTGAGCTCAATCTATGATGAGTTAAATAAATTGACTCATTTATTGATATTTTATTTGTCTAATTTATTTTATATATTTATTAGAATACAATCAAAATAAATTAATTCAACTCATTTTTTTATAGCAATACAATTAAAATGTTTATATATTTTATCAAACATTATTATAAATATACTAGTTGAAGTTTATAATATCAACTCACATAATTTAGTAAACAAGTAAAATAAACATCAAAATTATTTAAATATTATTAAATAATATTTTAATTTTTAAAAGAATGAAATTATCGATCTATATAATTAAAAATAATAAATAATTATAATTAAAAAACTAATGAAAAAGTATTAAAAAAATTATTATTGTTAATAGATTAAAAGTCAACATACCATGACACTTTAAAAAAATTGATTTTTTTTAATCTAATTCAACTCAAACCTATGGTGAGTTAGTGTAAGTAAGTATTATTGAATTGCTTTAACTCCTGCCGCTTGATTGATTTTCTGAATTTTTTTTGAAAAAAAAAACTGATTAGCTACTAGTGAAATTGGTGAAATTTAAAATATTTCTGTTGACTTTATGCTCAAAATTTAATAATTTATTAGTTGTGCTTTTTAATTGGTTTAATTGTATCCTCATTGGGTCAGTAACATAACGGAACTAAAATTTGAGTTGAATCGAAATTGAGATTTTGAGTAGTATTCAAATTATTTGTGTGCAGCATTCATGATTCTTAAGAACCAAGAATGAAGATTTAATCTCTCAATGACTGATGAAAGAATTTGAAGGTTTACTCATTCACAAAGCAAAGGTTTCACCTCATAACTGAATCTGTAGATGCTGCAGTTACCATTCACATTTTCACAAGTTCTTCTTGGAGCCACTTTATTCATAACCCAAGTGATCATTACATTGGTATTTAGCATGAGCATGAGCATGAACATGAACATGAAAGTATATGATTTGTTCAAAATAAGACAATTTCTAAAGATTGAACATGACCTTGATGGCAGTACCACCACGAGCACTTGTTTCAAAAGCTTCTTCCACTTCCTTTTGAGAGAACCCAAACCTGTGAGTTATAAGGGGTTTTACATCGATTTTCCCACTCCTTAGAAACTCAAGACAAAGAGGCCATGTGTTCATATAGCGAAAAACTCCAATCACATCAACTTCCCTGAATTATGTATCATAAACCATCACTACCAAATGTTACACATCATAACTTTTTTAAATAATCAAATTTTTGTATCTGATATACGTAGTCTATGCATGTATCAAATACTCTAAAACATAACATAAGCTTTTGTTATTTAATATTTTAATAAAGGATAAATATCTTTCAAGTCTTTAAATCTTAATGTAAAATTGGAATTTGTCCGGATTCCAAACTTGGATACAATTTGGCCTTCCAGCTTAACAATAAATGAATAATCATTTTAACTCAATTGCATTAACTTTCTTTTGACGTATCAAGTGAGATTTGAATTGTTTACATCGTTTAACACATTTTAGCTCAAATGTTAATATAAAATACCGTTTAACACCTAAAAAAATTAAGGTTAAAATAATTATATTCTTTCCCTTTTAAAGTTTGGAAGTTAAAATGTATCAAAGTTTCAAATTGAGTTAAAATCACATTTAACCTTTTTAATAAAATCAACAGATACCTTGCTGCTGCAGGGGTGAGTGGGACAGTCATTTCAGAATGTCCCATTCCCACTAGGCAAACTTTGCCACCAGGCTGAGTAGCACCCAATGCTGTAGACATGGTTTTGTCAAAACCAGCACAATCAAAGGTAACATTTATAGAAGCTCCCATAACCTTTTGTATCAGCTCAACTTCTTCAGCAACATCCTGCAAAGCAGTGCATTTAAAATATGGTTTCTTTGCTATTCACGGATGCACACAGAAATGCACAGTAAATATATAAATGTGTCACACAAACACATTTAAATGGATTTCTTTCAGAACCATATTGCGGAAACCATGCACTAAAACCTGACAACTGAAGATAGAGAGTAACAAGTGGTGATCCAACAACAGTTCTTTCAGGGAGAAGAGCATATTAAGTGTCAACAGAATATATAGGAAATGATGAATGGAGACATAACGATTCTAAATACCTGAATGTTTGTTGAGACTTTAACAATGTCATCTGCACCAAGAGATTTTGCAACAGATAAACGATAGTCATCAACATCAACAATGACAGTCTTGGGTGCTCCGAAAGCACGAGCTGCAAGCAGTGTAACAAGTCCTATGGGTCCAGCTCCCATGATCAACACATTGGTTTCTGGTCCAATATTAGCTCTCCTACAAGCATGAATACCAACACTTAAGGGTTCACACATGGCCCCCTCCTCTAGGCTCACGTTGTCTGGAAGCTTAAAACATAGGTCTGCAGGATGCACTATCTACAAAAGAGAAAAAGGAAAGTCATACAAGGGTTTCCATTGGAGTTCACAAATGGCTATAANTGGTGAAGTAAGAGTGTGGAATTGGTCAGCGGAGACAACCGCTACCGTCCAATAAAGTGACATTTACAATATGTTCCGTTTCAATGTTTTACTAGTTTCTTCTGGTCTTCCTTTTTGTAATCGTTTTAGCTGCAAGAAGGGAATTAAGGCTGAGGTCGGGAAGAGGCAGAAAAGGAGAGGTAAAGGGATTGTATGTAATTTAAGTTTGCGGAAGTAGTCTTGCGTTTAGAATCTGAGCTTTGGTTTTAGTGTTGAGTGGATATCCTTGGCGCAAAGCTGTGCTCAAGTAGGGCTTTTTCTATTGATGCTTGTAACATTTTGTGAATTCACAACATTATTTAGCATTATTCCTTAACACTTCCATATGCGTATACATACCGAATAAACGTTTGTTACTTGTCATTTACAAGTAACTGGTCTTCTTTCATCTGCTGTATTATTTTTCTGGTGATCATGAGCTTGACGAAATATGAACACGATAACTGTTGTTTTCTCTTTTATTTGTATAATTAGGAGGTATAGTCCCTTCTTACTCAGTCGGTGTATTTTTGGAGTAAACTGGTGTCTTTAGTTGTGATTTGATGTTCATTTGCAGATTGGATTGTATGTGTCAAAGCTGATTGTGTTAATTTGTGTATCTTAAATTGTAGTTATCTTTAATTTGTTTCCTCTTATTAATTATAATCTTTCTTCCTGGTTTTGAAGCCATAATTGTAGTACCAATTACTTTTGCTATTATTATGTTGAGAGCAGTAGAGTGGAAGAAATGAGGAAAATATTTCAAAAACTGTTACAATCGTTTTTCTCAAATCAAATGTGTGCTAATTAAGCCAACAAATCATTAATGTCAACTTTAAAAATAAAATAAATTATTTTTTAAATTAGAAAACTTCTAAAATTACTTGTAAGTTTAAGGAGTGAAAATAATTGTCAATTTTAAGGTCAAATAAAATTTATTAGACTTTAAATATTAATTTCAAATTTGGAGAATTACCACTATTTTATTTAAATTTTAGAAACTACAAAATTATTTTAAAAAAAAATTAAAAAGTAACTTTTCCTATTATAATTTTAGTGAAACATGCGATTCTTAACATGAATGTTGCTAATGATGTCAACTGGTGTGACATTATTAATAATGTGAAAAGAAATAACAATATTCTCAAATAAAGAATTCAAAATAAAAAATTAAAATTTAAAAGACTAATGCTATGTTTGTTTTTGGGAGAATACTGTTGTGGAAATAAAAGCAAGTGCTCCTTTAGTTTGTATTTAGTGATTTTCAGAAAAAAGAGAAGACGAATTTATAAGACATGAGTGTTTCAGCTAACCCTAAACAATGTGAAGAAATAAGAAAAAAGCTATATGAAAAACAAAAAATTACAGCTTAGTCCTTGCTATAATCCAGTTTATTTGAATCACATATTCGATCATGTATAATGTATAATAATTATTACATACTAATAGAAATATAATTCGTAATTTTGTTTTAATTAAGTTCATTGCTCAATGAAAATAATGTTTTAACCACATACAAGTAAAATGTAGAAATAAGTATTTATAATTTATATTAAATTAATTTTCACGAATAAAATTGTAATGTTTCAATTACTTCTATTAAAACATTATTTTTTTTATCACTCAAAAATCATTTTCCACTTTCTTTTCCGTCATTGTCATAATTTTTTACTCCTCAATTAAACTTTTGTTATGTATTGTTTTTTGGGTTATTACTAGTCTCTGGGTCAACAACTACTACCTTTGACCATAATCGTAAACTTCTAAAGTCCATTTATTCCTGTAGAGCTATAGTATACGACATCACCATGCATAGCTACAATACAGCCCTTTAAATCATAATATTATAATTCAGTATTGATGGCCCACAGGGTTTGGTCGTTACATGCATTGAGAATGATAGTTAATAAAATAAATAAATAAATAATAAATAAATAAATGGAATGTTAATGACCCAACTCTAACTTTTGATGATGACAGCTTCATATGGACCACTCCAAAATGTTTGATTTCATTTCGTGTATTATTGCATTTCACTTCTCGCATTCAATTCTTTTGGCCTTTCTGATTCGGGGTCTAATACTTCAATAATTGCAATGAAGTCCTGTTTTTTGTAATTCTAAGCCACATGAAGCCTCCTAGGAATCCTATATATTCCAAAAATGAAAAAAGTATTGATGTCGACCCAAGTTAACATGCTATAATTAATTTTAATTAATACACCTTTTGTTTAAGGTATTTTCATAATTTTCATATTTAGGTTTAAAAAAAAAATTCATCTTTAATTGTTCTCGCTAAAATTACGTTGTTATTATTCTGTTTTCATTATCCTTGTTTTTAATTTAATTTGTGTTGTTTATATTTTTATTGCTCTCGATACGTTTACGGGTATTTATAATTTGATTTGATCTATTAAATACAGTTTGATTTGATTTGATTTATTTTTATTTTAATATAAAGTTTAAATAAAACTAAACCAAATCAATATTTTGTGATTTGATTTAGTCTGTAGTTTTCTTATAAAATTGTTAAATATTATTTTTATTATTCTTAATCATTTATTTAAAGACAAACACTAAAGTACTGAGATTATGATAAAATTGTTTAAAAATATTAGTTAATCAATGAAAACTTCTTGTTAGTTGGAGTTTCCATTTTCTTATAAATTTAACCTTTTATTCGTGTGCTTCTATTCATTTTCCATATAAAAAGTACATTTAGATTTATTAGCATAACAAATTTATTTCTAAAGAGTTTCTAGCACATTTTACAAAGATAAATTAAGATAAAAAGTAGTTTAATTAATTTTTAAATCCTTTATAAATTTAGTATTTTCAAATCAAGTCTTTATTAATTTTTTTTTCATCTACTGAGTACTCAAAATTTTCATTATTATTGGTACCATAGATTGATTAAATATTTAAAGTGGCAAGTAGAGTGCTAGAGTGGATTAACCTGACCCATTACGACTTGAATTAAAAATGAGTTAAATTAACTTAACTCATTTTTTTAATAAACAAAAAATTTTGTAATTGAGCTCAATCTATGATGAGTTAAATAAATTGACTCATTTATTGATATTTTATTTGTCTAATTTATTTTATATATTTATTAGAATACAATCAAAATAAATTAATTCAACTCATTTTTTTATAGCAATACAATTAAAATGTTTATATATTTTATCAAACATTATTATAAATATACTAGTTGAAGTTTATAATATCAACTCACATAATTTAGTAAACAAGTAAAATAAACATCAAAATTATTTAAATATTATTAAATAATATTTTAATTTTTAAAAGAATGAAATTATCGATCTATATAATTAAAAATAATAAATAATTATAATTAAAAAACTAATGAAAAAGTATTAAAAAAATTATTATTGTTAATAGATTAAAAGTCAACATACCATGACACTTTAAAAAAATTGATTTTTTTTAATCTAATTCAACTCAAACCTATGGTGAGTTAGTGTAAGTAAGTATTATTGAATTGCTTTAACTCCTGCCGCTTGATTGATTTTCTGAATTTTTTTTGAAAAAAAAAACTGATTAGCTACTAGTGAAATTGGTGAAATTTAAAATATTTCTGTTGACTTTATGCTCAAAATTTAATAATTTATTAGTTGTGCTTTTTAATCGGTTTAATTGTATCCTCATTGGGTCAGTAACATAACGGAACTAAAATTTGAGTTGAATCGAAATTGAGATTTTGAGTAGTATTCAAATTATTTGTGTGCAGCATTCATGATTCTTAAGAACCAAGAATGAAGATTTAATCTCTCAATGACTGATGAAAGAATTTGAAGGTTTACTCATTCACAAAGCAAAGGTTTCACCTCATAACTGAATCTGTAGATGCTGCAGTTACCATTCACATTTTCACAAGTTCTTCTTGGAGCCACTTTATTCATAACCCAAGTGATCATTACATTGGTATTTAGCATGAGCATGAGCATGAACATGAACATGAAAGTATATGATTTGTTCAAAATAAGACAATTTCTAAAGATTGAACATGACCTTGATGGCAGTACCACCACGAGCACTTGTTTCAAAAGCTTCTTCCACTTCCTTTTGAGAGAACCCAAACCTGTGAGTTATAAGGGGTTTTACATCGATTTTCCCACTCCTTAGAAACTCAAGACAAAGAGGCCATGTGTTCATATAGCGAAAAACTCCAATCACATCAACTTCCCTGAATTATGTATCATAAACCATCACTACCAAATGTTACACATCATAACTTTTTTAAATAATCAAATTTTTGTATCTGATATACGTAGTCTATGCATGTATCAAATACTCTAAAACATAACATAAGCTTTTGTTATTTAATATTTTAATAAAGGATAAATATCTTTCAAGTCTTTAAATCTTAATGTAAAATTGGAATTTGTCCGGATTCCAAACTTGGATACAATTTGGCCTTCCAGCTTAACAATAAATGAATAATCATTTTAACTCAATTGCATTAACTTTCTTTTGACGTATCAAGTGAGATTTGAATTGTTTACATCGTTTAACACATTTTAGCTCAAATGTTAATATAAAATACCGTTTAACACCTAAAAAAATTAAGGTTAAAATAATTATATTCTTTCCCTTTTAAAGTTTGGAAGTTAAAATGTATCAAAGTTTCAAATTGAGTTAAAATCACATTTAACCTTTTTAATAAAATCAACAGATACCTTGCTGCTGCAGGGGTGAGTGGGACAGTCATTTCAGAATGTCCCATTCCCACTAGGCAAACTTTGCCACCAGGCTGAGTAGCACCCAATGCTGTAGACATGGTTTTGTCAAAACCAGCACAATCAAAGGTAACATTTATAGAAGCTCCCATAACCTTTTGTATCAGCTCAACTTCTTCAGCAACATCCTGCAAAGCAGTGCATTTAAAATATGGTTTCTTTGCTATTCACGGATGCACACAGAAATGCACAGTAAATATAT